AATCCACATTGAGTGAATGGAACCGTGGCCTCCTAACCTGCGGATGAGAGGCTTGTAGCTTGATAGGGTGTACAGACTCATCCGAAAGGGACTTTTTAGACAGATCTTCATGACCTTGCCCCACCCCAGTCCATCATCTCCTCTTTTACACCAAAAAGTAGTTTGCTGGGTGTGGTAGCTGTGTCCTTCGTGCCATTCAGGGGTGGAGAGGGTGGATGTGACGAATCCAACGATTCAGACTCAGTTCCTTCTTGTGTTGCTCAGAGCATGAAATCACTTCTGCAGCTCAGGCGAAGCGTGGGGCAGAGCCGGTGTGATTGTGATCCTGGGGTGACAACACCCGGAATCTAAATTGGACTTCTGTTGTATTCTCACCACTCAGTTTATTTTTTAGCAGTTTAATGGGTACATTTTAGAGTCTTTCATTTTGTGTGGAATTAGATTCCTCCCCTTCAAATGCTGTAATTAACATCACTTAAAATAAAACTTGAATAAAATATTGAAACCTAAAAAAAAAAAAAAAAAGAAGCCTGAGTTTGTTGTGGAAAGTGCATAGAACCATGTTGGCTGCACAGTAAGACGTCAATAGATGTTAGCAACTACTTTTATTAAGTGCAGGCCAATTTGCCACACAACTACATATTACATCAACTAACACATAAAGATTTCATCAATATGTGTTTTTTCTTAAGTCCTGTGCAAACTGAGTTATATATATATATATATATATATATATATATATATATATATATAGTTGTATTATACCTACTATTAAAACAGGGCTTTGTAGCCTGTGAAGAGTGGATCTCTTTCAACATTCACTGTAATCCTACCTAAAAAGATCTCTTATGTCCTTATGGAAATCAGAACTCATCCACAGGAGCAAGTGGTCCATGTGAGAGAATCCAAGGCAAATCATGACAATTCAATAATCAACAAAAATTATAAATTATACCAGTGAACAAATTATGACCAGCTCACAACAATTGCTAAGTACCCATTTCTGGAAATAACACTTTTATGAGCACAGAAACAAGATGTGCTTGATACCAATAAGGGTAACTAACATGGCTTAATTTGCTCTGATGAAAAAAAATGGTTCATAAAGCAGCAGACCATGTCATAGCAAAGAATATTTTGTGTCCTAGGGAGATTTAGAGATGGGCTGATACCAAGAGGCACCCTACTTTTCCCATGATAGGACTGCTGCTGGATAATACTTTCATTTATTGACAAGGAGATGGTCCAAAACAGTTATCTTTTCTGCCTATGCAATCAATAATATCAACCCAAAAGAAGAATCTGCAGAAAAGCTGTAGTATTCTTTTTCTGGAAATAGTCGACAAATCAGTCACAGCCATGGTAAAATGGTTTTCTATTCAAGGTGTTTAGTGCTCTGAGTTCTTGTTGGTACAACAAGCTTAACTAAGAATTTATCTTTTCTGAAAAATGTTTATTTTTTATTTGAAAAGTAGAATGACACAGAGAGAGAGAGAGAGAGAGAGAGAGAGAGAGAGAGATCTCCCATTCACTGGGTCACTCCCCAAATACCTGCAAGTGCCAGGCTGGGCCAGCCTGAAGCCAGGACCCAGGAACTCCATCCAGGTCTCCGATGTGGGTAGGAGGAGCCCAATTACTTGGGCCATAATCCACTGCTTTCCCAGACACATTAGCAGTAAACTGGATAGAAAGCAGAGGAGCCAGGACTCAATCAGCACTCCAATATAGAATGTGGGCATTGCAAGCCACAATACTCATCCCAGACATTTGTCTTTAAAAAACTCTAAAATGTGGTTGCTGTGAGCCTCATTTTCTATTTAAAGTGTAAGTTTGTGATCTTTGCATCGGCTTTTAATTTCTTCATAAAGAGAGAAGTTGACTATTAAAAAGAATGTTTTCCAAGATCATTAAAATAGCAGTTGCCTATAACATTATTGGGAATGGAGGGGATCAGGTTTTTTTCTTCCTCCAGTTTAATTTGCTTCTTTTTCTAGTGATTGGTCTCTCTTAGTTTCTTTTATGTTTAGGTTCATTCTTGTATTTGTTCACTACTGCTATGTAACCGGTTACCTCAAGCTTAGCAGCTTAGAACAACAAATACTATCTCACACAGTTTCTGAGAGTCAGGGTCCTATGATGCTTTGTGGTTGTGGTTCAAGGTTTCTTACAGAAGTGTAGCCAAAAGGTAGCCCAGAGCTGCAGTCTTCTGCAGGCTCAGCTGGGGCCAGAGGAACCCTGTTTACACTCACCAATGTGCCTCTTGCCAGGAGATTCCATTCAGTTCTTCCCCAACTGTTGCAAGCCCCCTACTTTTGAGATGGACCTCTCCATAGCATAGGGCTCCTCACAATAAGGCAACAGTTTTACCCAGAGAATGTGACCCAAGAGAGCAAAAACAAGATAGAAGCCACAAGTATATTTTATAACCTAACCTTGGAAGTATACATCAACACTTCTGTCATATCCTACTGGTCACATAGATGAACCCAGGTATAAAGAGGGACAGAACTGTACAGGCTATCATTGCTACAGAAAGGGATCTTCCAAGGAGGCCATCTTGAAAACTTTCTCTCACAATTGTGGTGAGAGATTTGACTTATTTAGATGTAGACCTGCAGAAGAGGTATCTAGATAGTTCGCAGCACTTATTATCAAATACATTTCCTTTTCAAAAAATAAGATGGGATGATAAAATTTTTAATGTTTTATTATCATGTTATTAATTCCTTTTGTTTAACCTATTATTAGAGTTTGTCAGTGTTTTGAATTGGCATAGCATCAGGGTAGAATCATTTTAAAAAGTACAAAGCATTAATCAGAGAATCTGTTGAATCAGTGAACATTAATGATTGAAAGCACATTCCAGATTATAGTTCATTTCAGAGAATCAAGAAGCAATAAATGAAAGTGATCAATGCATTCCTTTTATTCCAAGCTATTTCTAGAAACTTTTGGGAGTATGTTTTAGGCATCTTGAGGGATCTTTGATTTGTTTGCTTTTATTAAAAGACAAATAGAAACCAGTGTTGTAGGAGATAAAAGGTTTGTACAGCTTGAACACTGAGTAAGTATTCGAGGACTATAATATCTATGATAACCTGTGTTTTATTTATAACTCGAAATTCATGTTGCCACAAATCAGATTATCCTGTTTCCTTATCAGTTAGTTCTACAAAGCCATGTTCTGGCAATGTCTTTCATCCATAATATTATAATGCACAGTCTTTTAAATTTTTGTTTATTATATGATGCTAACTTCTTGTCACATGTTCTCCAGAACCACAGCATTTTAGATCTGGAAATATCCTTGGGATTTTTTGTGAAGGAGTAGGAGACACTGCATTCAGTGGTGCTGCTTCCCCACATTCTCTCTTTCATAAAAACCGATTAAACCTCAGAACCTAATAATATCACAAAGCAATTTTAAATCATTGACAATTATTCACTGTGCATGGTATCCTGAAAATGTCGATACAGGCCGCAGTGGTTCCAAAGAGTTAGGAGAACTGAAAGCAAAGATAAACACAGAGCAAGCTAAGTCCTTCTGAGGTTCTCTCCACATCTATTTACATATACCTTCTCACTGAGCAGTTGACATGACTTCTCTTTAAGTATTTAACTTTCTTCTTAAAAGTAAAACTGAGATATTTTTAAAATAAACAAGCTTGAAAGTCAGAGTCACTACAAATATTGCACATGCACATATACCTGTGAATGCACATTCAACTACTTATATGTTAGAGAGCTTACTTTGTTTAGAATCCAGGTCAGCTTACAAAGCTTAATTCTAAAGTAAAGAATGCTTTTCTTCCTTCTCGTTTGCTGTGGAAATAATACATCACATAGAGCTAGTCTTAGCCAAAGATTACTCCACACATAAAGAAAATACCTTTCTCTGACATTAGTCCCAGCCAATTTACACAAGTATTATAGGACTTAACCAGGCTGAACCAGCCCCCAGTGACTGAGCCTTTCATGAATTTGATTTGTAATATCAAAATTTGATATTTTCCAAGGTTATTGATTAGAAATGCATATTCGTGATAAGAGAAGCTCTTTGTAAAACCTGATTGCTTTGTGGTCTTACCAATATCTTAAATTAGTATTTTGATTCCTATATATTACCTCTGAGTTTTCTTATTTATTTTAGTTTGAGGATCTTCCTTATTTTCATTTATAAGAAATTATTCCCCACTCTGTCTTATCCCTTTCTAATTTTAGGATAGTTTCTCAGTTCTTTACCATTTCTTTACAGAGGATTTCTATAAAATGATCCTTTAGGATGCCATTAGGTAAACATGTCAGTATTTAATTAAATAAAGTAAAGCTTTCCAATTTAATCTAATTATTTCTTTATTATATACTTTAGCAAAACAGACCCCAATTCTAATTTCCAAAACTCTGGCCTTTTAGGGGCATCTATCCTAAATGTATTTCCATATCTAATATAGGTTGGCTTCAGTTATCTGCTGGTGCATCACAAGCTACCCCAAAGCTTAGTACTTACAAACAGTACTTTTATCATTTCTCACAATTCTGGGGATTGACCTGGGCTCAGCTGGGTGGTTCTTCTGCTGGTCTCATTTAGAGTCTCTCAAGCAGCATACGGGGCTGGAATGATTTCTTTCTGGCCCCTTAGTTGGAAGGCTGGGCTCAGCTGAGATACAGGATCAACTGAGCCTCTCTTTCATGTCACTTCTCAGCATGATCTGTCCAACAGGCATGTTTTACATGGCATTCATGGCTTTCAAAAGAGCAAAAGTGGAATCTCCCAGGCCTCTTTATGGCTCAGTCCCATAGTCACTTCTGTCAGATATCTTTAGTTGAAGTGGGTCACAAGGTCAGCTCAGATTCCATTTGGGAGGAAATTCACAGGGCATGCGTACTGAAAGGCATGGTTCATTGACGGTATCTCTAGAGATGGTCTAGTGCTTATCCTACAGAGATTGTATTTTCCATGCCTTCCACCAAAACTTTCATTTACCCTACTCCTTTTTTAGTTCCCTGTGTCTCTGGTGATTTGCCTAAGCCTACAGATGTCACCTTCTTGTCCATAAACATGAAGAATGTTCTACAGTGGAACCCACCAGAGGGTCTACATGGAGTTGATGTTACCTACACTGTGCAGTATTTCATGTGAGTTGGACCCTTCCTTTTTGACTAATTTATAAACACACAATTCAGACTCCTGTTTACTGTGCAAGATAAGCCATCTATGTTAATTCCACTAGTGTTTGAAACAGAGAAAAGTTTTGGATTTTTCATGTTAAGTTTTCTTGGGATGTTTTGTTAGATTAAGTTAGAAAATGGTTTCTTCATGTACAGGAAAACACTGGGTATTCAGTTAGAAGGAGTTATTTAAAGAGGAAAGAAGCTTGTCATATCATTATTCTGTGGCTCAGAAAACAAGGCAATCTATCGCTGAAACTTCCAAGCTTACTAGAATTGGAGGTATTCTTAGACTTCATGAAACCAAGTGCCACATTCCATGAAAACAGCTGTTAATATTAAAGCCTGTAATGGATGGGCCTTTTTACTTTTCACCTCTCCCTCAAAAACATTAACAAGAAAAAGTACAAAACAGACAATGTCCATCTTCAGAGAACAAAGGAAATAGCCACAATCCCAGATCACAAACTATGAAGCATTCAAGCCCAACATTGTGGAATCTGAAGGTAAACAGCTGCAGAAGCTGAAATCAAACCCAAACCTTCTCAAATTCCAACAGCAGAAAATGATTGCACAAGAATGAGTGTGGCAGTCCTAAGAGGTCTACCTAACAATGTAACTCTGTGGGAATCTGAGGATTCCCACCTCTAGAAACTGATGAAATATTCCCCATCAAGTCCCAGGTAGGTGCCACAGCATGTCAGAGAAGGAAGATCTGAAACAGAAATAATGTTCAAGAAGCATTTGCCTGTGGAGGCCAGGTCTCATCCCAGGGAGAAGCCTGGAGTGAGACACGTTCAGGAGAGAAGGGAGGTGGTGATGGCTGGGAGGCAGCCCAGGAAGGCCATGACCCTGTGGACATTCCATGAGCCACATCAGCCTCCTGCCATCCAAATGTGAGGACATAGGTGAGGGGTTGTTTTACAGAAACACGTTTAAAATTGTAGAGAACAAAATCTCATTATCTGACCCCTACTCCTGCACCCATCTTCATAATACTCAGCAAAGAGCTGACCCCATTCAAAGAGTGATAAACCCAAAAGAACCAGTACAGCACCCATCCAAAATTATGGGCAGGAAGGAAACAGAAAGAAGAACCCTGGAGAAAAGTTACAACAATCGCTTCCCATGGAAGTAAGAGAAGAATTCAGATAAACAATTGTCCATAGTTGTGTAGGGTTCATAAACAGCATGATCTCTAGAGTAAAGCTCAAAGAAGAGAAAACTGTGCAAGAAGAGACTATCAGATAATGAGGAGGGAACCTTTTTTCAAAAGTTGGAAAATCAAAATATTATATAGCCTGTTATAGCTAACTGATAGTAATGACTGAACAAGAAGTAAAGACTACTTGGGATTGTATATTATAAATACAAGCAATAGCTAGGAAAACTTAATAAAAACAGCAGCAAGGAATTTCCTGGTGAAGTTCTTGAACATTAAAAAAAATGCAATGATGTATGGCCATCTTTGCAAAAGCAGAGCTCAAGCTAGGGGAGGGGAAGGAATTTCTGTCTGGCAGTACTCAACGGAACACATCTCCTAAAAGGAAGAAAGGTGTGACCTAAGCCTCTTGGTAAGGTCAATGGAAAGATATTTTCAAGCAAGTGGAAACTCGGGGTATCACTCCCCCTGAGACTTTCTCCAGGTTGGGGCACTGGCCAAGGGAAAGCAATCACTACAGAAGATATCCCACTAACAGAGAGACCATGATGAACCCAAAATATCTTAGTAATGACCCAGTTATGGCAAGAAAGACAGGTGGCATGCATTGACTCCACCTGAATGTGGAACTGAAACCAACTAGTGATGGGAAATATGGTTAAAGAACGTTCTTGTAAATGTTTGAGCTTCATATAACAAATCAACAGATGTCAAAGAGCTAAGAGTACACTGATTTGCAAAGTAGGAAGTCATTAAATGGGATCTAAACTGAAAAATGCAGTCATCTCTAGGTATCCAATGGTGATTCTTCAGATCTCCCCTGGATAGTCAACTCCTTGGTGTTTAAGTTCCTTATGCAAAAGGGGATACTGCCTGCACAGAACCTACACACATCCTCCTGGATACACGGAATCATCTTTAGATTGCTTAGAATACCAATTGCAATGTCAATGCTATTAAAATAATTGCCATACCGTATTGTTTAGGGGATAATGACAAGAAAATAAGTCTGTGCATGCTTAGTACAGATGCAATTTTTCTTCCAAAATATTTTAAGTTGGTTGAATCCATAGGTGTGGAGAACTGACTGCTTTCTTTATTTTAGTAAGTAACTCTCAATAATTTTCTTAAACATTTTCTTACTTTAAAATCTTTTTTATGAACGTATGCCCTTTATGGTGACAAAGCATTTGAACTTCAGTAATTCCTCCACTTTTACTTTAGCTTCTTTTTACTCTTAAAGTTCAGATTAAACGTACTACTTTTATTAAAACTGTGTGTATGATCTGATCTGATTTTTGTATATAAAGCAAGCTGACCATCCCTCTGTCTACGTGTAAGCAGGACAAGATGTTCAGAGTTGTGGCCACCAGACATTTCAGGGTAATGGGTTTCAGCATGATTTATTTCTCTCTTGATGATATTTTTCTGAATTTAATTTAAAAACGTGGACCATAATGACAAAAGAGGATAAAGCCCCTTTGGCCTTTGAGAGAGAAATGTTTCATCCACAAAAACGGAACAGAGCTGTCAGCAGCTGCTCACAATGACCTCATTGATCTAGAACCCCATTCTTGCTTCCAAGGAGCTTCTCCGGAGCTGGTGTCTTAGGAAAGCAGACATCACTCTGCAGAGAAATGGCTCTGGAGCTTGCCCTTGCCACTGCTTCCATTAGGTGGAGCAAAGAGCTTTTCTGTGAATCAGAATGGGCCTTTAAAAAAAAACACAGGCAGAGTCCTCACTGCTCGGAGAGAGGGGATAGTTTAGATTGTGCAACTTATGAAAGAGAGTATTTTGAAAGACCCTTGCCATGTCAGAGATCTTGCCACTCATGCTTGTGGAAGCTGGGCAGGACAGAGGGCGACTAGTTTCACGGCCAAAGGGCTCCGAGCTGCTCTAGACTCACGCCGAGCTCACAGCCAACTGTGGACCTAGTGCGTAACCTCGAGCAGGTTACATGTTTTACTTTTGTGCTTCTGAGTGGTTTGTTTCCAAGATGAAATTTTGACAAAACTGTAACATATCTACCAAAAGAATTTAATATAGGAATTAGAATGTAGCATTAAAAAACAGAAAATTTGACCTCAGAAAATAGTGGTTCAAATCTCAGAGTTGCCTTTTACTAGTCATGTGAACTTGAGTGGATCCCTTCGTTACATTGAGCATCAGTGTCCTCATCTGTAAAATGGGATGAAAATAAAGGCAACTACTTCCTAGGGTTATTGGGAAAATTCAGTGAATTAAAGCATGTAAATCCTAAACACCAGCACCTAACACGTGCTTGATAAACATTTTCCATTATAGAAAGCAGGCATAGACTCCTGAGGACCCCACAAGTGTAAGCATCATTACTGGACTGTTGAATGGTATCTGTCCTGTCATTCATTTTGCTCATGCCCAGCCCTGGACCATTTGTCATTCATTTTGCTCACGTCTATTTTAAGGACCATGTTCTCTTTCATCAGCAGCTGTCATGGGAAGCTTCCCTGCAGAGTAAGGAAGTTTGAGGGGGGAAGGGTTAAACAGGCCATGACAATATTTTTCAAACCACAAGTCAAGACCTGTTGGTAGGTGATGAAGTCTGTTTTGTGAGATGTAACTAGCATTTAATAGTAAGGGATGGAATGGAGTAGTTTAGAATGGGAAAAGGGTTTAAGTAATATCTTGTAAAACTTTTGCTTTAAAATGTTAGATAAATGTATGTTTTGTGAGTTGGGGAAAAATGCAAAATGCACCATAGTCAGTAAAAGTTTGGTGTAGTGGTTAAGATGCTGCTTGGGATACCCACATCCAATATCAAAGCACCTGGATTCAAGTCCTGGCACTGCTCTCAATTACAGCTTCCCATTGATACACACCCTGGGAGGCAGCAGGTGATAGCTGAAGTATTTGGGTCCCTGCCACCCACATGGGACAAGGCTGGCCTGACCCAGCCTTGGCTCTGGTGGGCATTAGAGGAATAGGCCCGTGGATAAGAGAATCTCCCTCTCTCCCTCTCTCTCCCTCTCCCTCTCTCTCTCTCTCTCTCCCTCTTTCTCTCTCTTCCTCTCTCTTCCTCTCTCTCTCTCTCTCTCTCTCTATCTCTCGCTCTCACTCTCTCTAATAAACTTGAAATTTTTTAAAAGTCTGGGAGCCCCTCAGTAATAGTGATCACTTGGAAGACTGTCAACACATCTGACTATGTTCCCAAGGTCTTTCAGCAAATTTGGTACTGGAGAAATGGGAGACATTGCTGTCATAATCTGCTGCCACATTCTGGAAAGAGAAGACATCCATAAGCATTGGCATATCCTCCTCCTCAATACACATTCATCCCTTGACTTTTGTGAAGCCATCCTTCAGTTCATCCTCTTTAGCTGCTATTTCCAAGTCTACTTTGCATCCAGCCATTAAATCTTGACGTTCTTAAAGTCTTGTGCTAGATGTTTCTTTGTCTCTGTGGATAATTTCATTCATGTCTGTGCCTTCAATGAGCTGTTTTATGGCCCTGACTCCCAAATGTCTACCTCCCACTCACACCTCTCTTCTGGGTATCTGCATTTGGATAGCTCTTACACACCTCAAGTTCTGCAAGTCAAAACTGAACTCAGTATCTTTCCTTCCTCCAAGCCCTCCCACCCACATTTCCCAAATTTGCTCTTCTTCTGTGTTCCTAATCTTGGTGAAGGTAAATGTTACCACCATTCCACCCACCTGCCCCAGATAGAAAGAGACATGGTCACTGCCCTTATCTCTTACATACACTCAATCATCATGTCCTTTCCCCTAATATGTCTTGATTTTGTCATAAGCATTCGTTCTGCCAGCATCTTGTTCAAGCCATGCACATCTTCCACCTGGACCTAACAGTTTCCTCTCAGCTCTCCAGAATGCCACTCGTCACCTGGTACCCCCAGTACACTCCCACATTCTCAGAGCCGGCTTATTAAACCACCCTGCCTCCCAACACCTCTGTTTTCCTCCCTCCCATACAACTCTGTCCCTTTCATTGAGTCCTCACATTGCACTTGATATTGGATGTGGGTATCCCAAGCAGCATCTTAACCACTACACCAAACTTTTACTGACTATGGTGCATTTTGCATTTTTCCCCAACTCACAAAACATACATTTATCTCACATTGCTTAAACTCAGTCTCTCCCACCTCAAAAGTGCTAAAAATATTTCCTCATAGTTATTTTCCTTGGGTGTTGTATTTTTTAATAAAATAAAGATCATTGTGAACAACCTACTCAATACCATCATCATCATTACCATTATTGAAAAAGCAGATTTTGGCCGGTGCCGCGGCTCACTAGGCTAATCCTCCACCTGCGGCGCCAGCACTCTGGGTTCTAGTCCCGGTTGGGGTGCCGGATTCTGTCCTGGTTGCTCCTCTTCCAGTCCAGCTCTCTGCTGTGGCCCGGGAGGGCAGTGGAGGATGGCCTAAGTGCTTGGGCCCTGTACCTGCATGGGAGACCAGGAGGAAGCACCTGAATCCTGGCTTCGGATCGGCGCAGAGCACCAGCCATAACAACCATTTGGGGAGTGAACCAACGGAAGGAGGACCTTTCTCTCTCTCTCTCTCTCTCTCTCTCTCACTGTCTAACTCTGCCTGTCAAAGAAAGAAAGAAAGAAAGAAAGAAAGAAAGAAAGAAAGAAAGAAAGATTTTGATATGTATTTCAACACAGTGAATTTTCCCCAGAACTCTTGATGACAACAGATTTTTAAATTTTATGAGAATGTCAAGGTAATTTTGCTTCCAAGGAGGGGGAAAAAAACTACCTTTTCCTAAAACAACTCATCATATTGCCCTCCTAAACATGGGAAACTAAAAACTTACACTGAACAATTACTAGAAGAATGTATCATGAAAAATATAAAAATTTTATTATAGCCAAAGAATAAAAATAAAAGACCCTTTCAAACTGTACTACCCACATTATAATCCACAGAAAAGAAAGGTGGTTACAGAAACTCTGACTCATGTCCCTGACAGCTAATGAAAAAATTGCCAGCAGCGAAAGTGCATTCTTTTTTATCTCAATGACAGGCACTTTTGTTTTTCTGAAGAGAAGGTCTTCCGTTCAATTTTAAATAATGACTTGTTTTTTTTCTAATTGGGAAGCATAGAGGGCACCACATTATTAATTCACAGTTTCCTTCTTAGCAGATATGGACAAAAGAAATGGCTGAATAAACCCGAATGCAGAAATATCAATAGAACCTTCTGTGATCTTTCTGCTGAAACCTCCGACTATGAACACCAGTATTATGCCAAAGTGAAGGCCATTTGGGAAACGAATTGCTCCAAATGGGCTGAAACTGGCCGATTTTATCCCTTTTTAGAAAGTAAGTAACCCAGTTGTCACAGATGTCAGTTCAACATTGTGTTGACATCAAGGTGATCTGACTTCCTGGTGTCACGGTCCCGGCTCCTGAGACCCCCCACCTTGCCCTGACCAAAGGGGCTCAGCTGGTCTCTGTTCTGTGCCGGCAGGTTGAGTGGGCAGGTCAGGGGGCTCCAACCCGAGAGGGGTCTCAGGGACTCAATCTACAGTAAAAGGTTTGACCAGGTGATCTCTAAGATCTTTCCCAGATCCAAAACTGATGCTAAATGTCAAGTGTACCAAATTTTGATTTGGTTCTCTGTCTAGTGAAGGTGATGTAACTTGAAGAAAATTAAGAAGTTGTCTGTAACATCATCAGTGTATAAACCATTGGTTTACGTCCATAGGATGCCCAGCTGAGGCTCTTTCTGTCATAATTTTGGTAGTGTGCCGATGTAATTCACAGGTGCAACTCAGATTTAAAGCAACAGCTTCCTAGTATTTACTTTGTAATTTTGCCGTCCGCTAGTATTACTCAGTCATGAAGGACCCACTCAGGGCCAGCATAATGAACTCTCAAAGTGCCCCATAGGCCCTGCAGTGGGCGCCTGTCCCCAGGGTGCTGCCAGATCGGAAGTCTGCCAAACTATAGCCCTCAGGCCAAGCGCAGCAAAGAGCGCTGTTTATAACTTGGGACAGTTTAGAAAAATCAAGAGAATATTTTGTGATGTGAAAATTACAAGACAATGGGAGTTCAGTGTCTGTTCACAAACACAGTGTTACTGAAACTCGGGCCATGCTCAGTTCTGTACGTGTCCTCTTTGGCTGCTTTCTCCCTGCGCCCAGAGTGGAGCAGCAGCAACAGAGACCCAAGGCCTGCTCAGCCTAAGCTATTTACTAACCAGACCTTTAGGATGAAAGTTTGTTGACTTCTGCTCTAGAGCATTCTAATCACATCTCTGATTTTTCCACTTTTCAAATCATGTCAATGCCCTTTCACATGGACTTTTCAAGTCACAGGAATATGACACTTTTGATTGCATCATCATGAAGTATGGCTGATTTATGTGGTTAAGAACTCAGTACATATAACCCCTGAATTTGCTGTTTTAACAGTATCTGGGTGTATCAAGTGATTGCTTCAAGGTCAGGCATAACTTGGGGTCTACCTTGGTATACAAGGAGGCTTCTGTTAGAGGTCTTTGGCCTTTGAACGGAGAAGGATCGTACTGCGGTTTTCTCCAAGGCAATTCTTACACTGGAACGTGCAACCTCCCTCTCTCCTTCCCTTTAAGCACAAATTGGCCCCCCAGGCGTTGCTCTGACTCCTGATGAGAAGTCCATTTCTATTGTCCTGACGGCTCCAGAGAAGTGGAAGAAAAATCCAGAAGACCGTGCTGTGTCCATGCAACAGATATACTCCAACCTGAAGTACAACGTGTCCGTGTACAACACCAAATCCAAAAGAATGGTAAGCCGGAGGTGGACTGGGGCCCATTCACTCTGGACACCACTTTCTGTAGCTAAGGCTGGAGCCAGCGGCCCTCCCGCTGCTTTCCTTTCCCCCATGTGAATCCGGAAGATGTGCTATTCAAGAGATGCCATGGAAGACACAGCTGAAGCCGATGTGTAGAAAACTGAGATGTGACTGGAGCAGTGTGTGATGCTGCTGTTGGAGGGCAACCCTTCACTTTGATGGAGTGCTTTTACTTGCATAACCTATCAATCCCTCTCCCAGAAGGAAAAGGAAAAAAAAAAAAAACGTTAGCAAGAACACAGAACAAAGCTGAATGAGAGAGACATCCAGGGTTACTCCAGAGATTGGTACAGATCCTAGCCATGCTTTGCTAGGCTGAAGGGAGGGGGTATTTTGAAACCATTGCTAAACTGGAAAGCTTGGTGGGGCAGCCAAGGATGGCATGGTGTCTCCCTCTTTTATTTCCTTCTGGAGTGAGTTGTCTGGGGTGGTTCCAGAAGTCTTTGGTGCTGACTGCTGTTTGCCATTCCCTGTCCTAGTGGTCCCAGTACGTGACCAACCACACGCTGGTGCTCACCTGGCTGGAGCCGGCCACTCTGTACTGTGTGCGTGTGGTGTCGTTCGTGCCGGGGCCGCCTCGCCCTGCTAAGCCTTCCGAGAAGCAGTGTATCAGTACATTGCAAGGTAAGCTCCAAAAAAAATAAAATAACTCTGCTCGTCTAAAGAAGGAAATCAGATAAAACTAGAAGGCAGGCAGTTTTGACAAGGTTTTGACAAATGCACATCAAAGAGAAACAGGTTAAGACAGAGGCAGAAATATCTATCGTTAGCAATACATTGAACATTCTAGGACAGAAGACGAACAGGTTGAGGCAAATGCAGAAAGAAATATCTGTCACCAGCAATGCATGGAACAGCCTGGACTCTGACGTTGAGCCCGGCCAACAGCACAGAGTGTTTTCACCCCAGGGGAACTCTAAGCACTGGGTTCTAAACCACTGCCAAAAATCCTCCCACAGTCTCATAGCTTCCTGTCTTATGCAACAACAGTTAAGAATTCTCACATGTGTCTTGTTTTCTTCTTTAAAGTCAAAATCATGCTGATCAATAGAAGCTCCCAGCTTTCAGAAGCATCAGACAATTTTTATTGCTAGAAAAAAAAGCATTACCTGAAAATACTTTTAGGGCTGGAGCTGTGGCACAGCAGGTTAAGCCACAGCCACCCATGTTGGAGTTCTGGTTGGAATCCCAGCAGCTTCACTTCTGATCCACCTCCCTGCAGAGGGTGGCCCAAGTACTTGGGCCCCTGCACCTACATGGGAGACCCAAAAGAAGCTCCTGGCTCCTGGCTTCTGACCAGTCCAACTCTGGCTGTTGCAACCATATGGGGAGCAAACCAGCAGATGGAAGATTGATATCTCTCTCTACCTTTCAAAAAATAAATATTTTTTTAAAAAAAAATATGATGGAGGGTTCTCAACCATGTGTTAAAGGAAATGAAAACATCACACAAGTAAAACAGCAAAACAAGGCAAATTAAGGAAATCATTATCATTTTTTGGGAAAAAATGCTCTGTTTACTAACAGCTTCATCAGTGCCAGTGGCAGGAGTGAATTGCCAGGGAGAATCGTTTTATTCAGTTGGCAGGGCTCAGGGAACTAAAGCACAGATTAAATTAAGTTCTTCCTAAGAAGCCGATGGAGCCCACTTTCTCACTAGTGTACGAGGAAGAACAAAATCATAGGGCCTTTTCTGATTCTTGAACTTTCCCATGGTATCCCAGCTGTTAGATGGCCAGAGACCCCTTTCCAGACACTGCTAGAAAGTTCAGCTTCCTAACACATCAGCAGGACCTCTTTCAGTTTCATTGAAAAAGATTTCTGCTCGCCAGTCTCTAGAATACAAACGTGCTTTGTTAGGTTGACTGAGTGTGTGCTGGTGCACACGAAATGCTCTCAGTCACTATGCTCAGGACTTCTTTTTTTTAAGATCTTATTTATTTTATTTGAGAGACAGAGTTATAGACAGAGAGTGGGAGAGGCAGAGAGAGAGAGGTCTTTCATCCTCTGGTTCATTCCCCAAATGGCTGCAACTGCCAGAGCTGAGCCCATATGAAACCAGGAGCCAGGAGCTTCTTCTGGGTCTCCCACTGGGTGCAGGGGGCCAAGCACTTTGAGCCACCCTCTACTGCTTTCTCAGACTGCAGCAGAGAGCTGGATCGGAAGAAGAGGAGCCAGGACACAATCCAGAGCCCATATGGGATGCCAGTGCCACAGGTAGAAAGTTAATCCACAATGCCACAGCACTGGCCCCTTGACTTCTTTTAATTAGGACAGGCTCAGCCCAGGGACGAGCACTGCATCAGAGGGATGGAACTGAGCTATAGCCTAGAGTAGGGTTAAGTGGTGTCTAGACACCTGTCACATGCACCTTGTAGCCTTGGCACAATGCTGTGCGGAGCCTATAACATCCAGGTTAGACAGATGAGCCTGGGACTTGTACTACTGGCTATTGTTGATCACCTCTGCCACTCCAGTCTTTTTTTTAAAAAAATATCTATTTATTTACTTGAAAGGCAGTATGACAGACATACAGAGAGACAGACATTTCATCCACTGGTTCACAGCCCAAATGGTTACAAAGGCCAGGCCTGGGCCAGGCCAAAGATAGGAGCCTAGAACTCCATCTGAGCTTCCCATGTGGCAGGGGCCCAAGTACTTGGGCTATCTTCTTATGTTTTCCCAAAGCATAAGCAGGGAGCTAAATTAAAAGTGGAGCAGCCAGGACTCGAACAAGCACTCTAATATGATATGCTGGCATCATAAGCAGTAGCTTAGCCTACTATTCCACTATACCAGCCCTGCCAGTCTTTTTTTAAATTTTATTTTTATTACTTATTGGAGAGGCAGAGTGACAAGGAGAGAGCAAGCATGCACTCAAGCCCTCCCATTCAGTGGTTCATTCCCCAAATGCCCATAAAAGCCAGGGCTGGGCCATGGCCAAGCCAGGGATCAGAAACTCAGTTCAGGGCTCCCACATGGGTGACAGGAACCCAATTACTTGAGCCATCACCACTATCTCTCAGGGTCTGTGTTAGCAAGAAGCTGGAGTCCGGAATCAGAGCAGGATATTGAACCCAGGCACCCAGAGATGGGTTGTAAGTATCTTAACCTTCATTTTAACCACTAGGCCATGGCTTGTTTCCAGTCTTTAACTGAATCGTTAACCAGATACTGACTGTTGCTTTCTCTCAAGCCAAGGCATCAACACCAACCAATATCCATGTAAGTTAGAAGGCACCCACGGCAAGCCTACTGATTTTATTAGCATGTAAGGGATATGCTAGGACACGTGCCATTTGTGCTAAAGCTGCTCCTTTTTCTCCTGCTATGTAAGTCAGGATTCTCCAGAGAAACAGAATCAATAGGATAGAGAGAGAGAAATACCTTTAGGAGTTGGCTGTCAAGATCGTGGATGCTGGCAAGTCTAAGATCTGTTGGGCAGGCAGTGGAGACCCAGGGAAAACTGATGTTACAGTTCATGTCCAAAGGCAGTCTGCTGGCAGAATGCCCTCTGCTTTAGGGTCATCAGTCTTTGTGTTAGTAATTATGTATGTATTTGAAAAGCAGAGTGACACGGGGCGGGGGTGGGGGGAGGAAAGGGAAAAGGAGAGCGAGAGAGTGGTATCTTCCATTGCAGGTTCACTCCCCATATGCCTTCAACAGCCAGAGTTGAGCCAGAAACTCCATACCAGTCTCCTATGTGGGTGGAAGAGACTCAAGCATTTGAGTCAACATCTGCTGACTCCCAGGCACATTAGCATGAAGCTGGATCAGAAGGATTGATCTAGGACTTGAACCAGGCACTCAGATATAGGATAGGAGTGTCCGAGAGGTGGCTTAACCTACTGTACCACAATGCTCCCCCCCACCAACCCCCATCACTCTTTTTAAATCAAAGTCTTCAATTGATTGGATTAGGCCCACTTACATTGTAGAAGGTGATGTGCTTTACTGAAAACCTACTGATTAAAAATGTTACTCTTATCTAAAAATACCTAGAATATTATTTGGCCAAATTTCTGGGTACTGTGGCCTAACCGTGTTCATATATAAAATTAACCATTCCAATCTCTGTAGGAGTTTAGCATATATATAAGGGTACTCCAAATATTTGGTGTAAAATGGATAAAAAAAAAAGTTTACTTTATTGCAAAAAAATTTTTGAAAGGCATACACAGTGTTTATAATATGCAATTTTCCTGAGCTTTTTGAAGACCGTTCATATGCATGGATTTCAATTGTTTTTGCACAAAAATAAACATCTTTCAATTTCATTTTCCATGAACTCTTCTTCTTCTTTTTTTTTTTTTTTTTTTGTACGTTAGTCATGGTGAGCCTCAACTCAATATTCTGGTCAATGATAGGCCAAGGCTGCTTTTCTTAAAACTCTCCACCAGGCTTTTTCGTTGCTCTGTGGTCTTTCACTCATCATGGACCTGCAGCGCAGCTGGACATAGAAGGACTTTGCTACCATTCTCAGTACTTAGCTGCTCAGCCAGCTCCCCACACACATCCCTAAGCTCTGGTCCTACCCAGAAAATCTGGCCAACCAATACCAGAAAAGATTGAGCCAAATGAGTGGCATGGGCAAGTGGAACAGCTTAAAAGGATCAGAGAGTTTTTTGTTTGGTTTGAAACACTGAGTTACCCAGATATCAGATGCACTTACCATCAAATACATGAGCCAGCATGAACTTTTTAGCAAGACATACAATGTTGAAATATCTGCTGACTTGGATTATCAATGTATCCTTACTGTAAAGGTTGGAGGTGAGTCCAGATAATATCTTAATTCCCATTGTCAGAGTGAGAATTCTGAGGCCCCTTGCAACCTTGAGCGCAGATGTCTCAAGGTATTGATGAGACAACTGGGTTCTTGAATGTAAATGATCTGTTCAAAGTCTCTTAACATTGCCAGAGCCTTCCCTCCCCATATAATCACAACTCTCCAACCCTTTCCTCCTTTTTTCCACAGATCAAACATCAGCGCTAAAGGTTAAAATCATCTTCTGGTATGTTTTGCCAATATCTGTGGCCGTGTTTCTCTTTTCTGTGATGGGATATTCCATCTACCGATATATCCACGTTGGCAAAGAGAAACACCCAGCAAATTTGGTGAGTGCCAGAGGATAGAGAAGACTCTATAACATAGAAGATAGAGAAGACTCTAGAAAAAGATATAACTCCATTTAAGGGTAGAGTGCATTGAAAACTAAATGGCTGATAAGTTTAAATTACTTCCAGAGATGCATTAGCTCATAAACAGAACCAAAGATAAAAGATTCCTAAGCACTGAAAACATTTTATGCTTTGTTACTGGATTAGACAACATCCTGGTGTACACAAGGTATTTAAGTCATAGTCACTGCTCTTCTGGGGGGTGAGGACTAGTCAGGGACTGGACTTCCAGAATAGTACATGAAGGGTGAGATGAAAGGAGGCCCTGGGGTGCTGGGGGTACAGGGAGGCCATGAAATGCTTCATGGGAGATCAGTTGCCATGCCAGAGCCTGGTGGTGAAGGGTGAGTGAGTCAGGGCATTTAATGCCGGCAGAAGAAACAGCAGAGGCGAAGGGAGTGGATGTGTGGGAAACCACATTGCATTGCTAAACTGGAAGTTTCCTGAGGAGGGGCAAGGACAGATGAGACTGGAGAGTGGGTAGGAGGGCCAGGTCATAGAAGGATTGGCACTATGGCAAGGGCTTGGCTTTATTATGTCAGCACAAAGAAATCCCCAGAGGGTGTTAAGTTGGGAGTGTTGTAGTCAATATTGCGGTTTTGATGCAACTGGATATCTGTTCTAGAACAGTGTTAGGGGGAGGAAGACTAGAAACCAGAAAAACAGCTGGGGGCCATGCCTGTGGCCCAAGGGAGAGAAGATGGGGGTCTTAAAGAGGAGAATGGGATTTGGGCCCGAGTTGGACAGGGAATGTCAGAGCCCTTGGGAGGAACAGGGCTGGACCTGAACCTTCACGGCAAGAAGAGGCAAGAAAGAAGATGAAGGAGTAAACCCCACGTTACAGGACCATCTGCCCAAGGCCCCTGAAAGGCCAAGCATGAGTGCAACAATAATAATTATTTCTTTGGGAATTATTAAAAGATATGTTCATGTGTATATATGTGTACATGATAGCATACTATTATTCTTGTTGTTTCGGTGTTCAATTTTTTTCTATTATTCACTTGCATTTGTCAGAGTAGGCTTTGTTTTATATATTAGATTGATTTACTTATTCAGGCAGGGTTACAGAGAGGGAAACAAAGACAGTGAACCATCCACTGGTTCACTCCCCAAATGGTCGCAACGGTGGGGGTTGGATTAGGCAGAAGCTAGTAGCTTAGAACTCCATCTGGGTCTCCTGTGTGGGTAAAGGGGCCAAGCACTTGGGCCATCTTCTGCTTCTTTCCTAGGCACATTAGCAGGGAGCTGGATCAGAAGTGGAGCAGCCAGGACTCAAATCTCATATAGGATGCAGGCAACAGCTTAACCTGCTGTGACACTAGGCCAGACTCCAGAATAAGCTTCTTATGGCACAGGGAGACCTTTCCTGGGAGTAAAATTCACAGAATTCATGATGTGACTTTTCTTTGAAATAAAAATTGTGTTTAAAAATGAGGCTAAAGATTGTTTTTTGGGGGGTGAGTGTTATGGCACAGAGGGTTAATCCACCTCCTTCAGCACCAACACCTCATATAAGCGAGGGTTTGAGTCCCAGTCGCTCCCCTTCCAATTCAGCTCCCTGCTAATGTACCTGGGAAATCAGTGGAAGATGCTGTACATGAGCCCCTACCATCCATACAAGAGACCAGGGGCATTCCTGGCTCCTGGCTTTAGCCTGGTCCAAAGCTGGCTGTTGTGGCCATTTGGGGAGTGAATCAGAGGATGGAAGATACCTCTCTCTCTCTCTCTCTCTCTCTTTCTCTCCCCTCCCCACCCACCCCCATAACTCTGCTTTTCAAATAGATACATAACTCTTTTTTTAAAGTGTTCTATTTTATAATGTTAAGTGAAATTCCATCTTAAGATGACAATGAGAATTATAAAATAAGTCCTTATTGACAGTTTCTTAAAACACAGTCCATGTATACCCACTAATACTTTATTTATCGTTACTTTTAAAAATAAATATATATTTCAATTTTTATTTAGTTATTTTCATTTTATTTGAGAGACAGAGAGAGATTTTACATCTGCTGTTTCAGTCCCCAAATGCCTGCAACAGCCAGTGCTGGGCCAGGCCAAAGCCAGGAGCTTAGAACATAAACTAGGTCTCCCACTTGGGTGGCAGGAACCCAAACTTGAGCCATCACCTGCTGCCTCCCAGGAAACACATTAGCAGGAAGCTGAATGGGAAGTGGACGAGCTGGAACCAGAAGCAGACACTCTGATATGGGATGGAGGTATCCCAGTCTGCAACTTAACCACTGCACCAAATGTCTGCCTCTTCCCTCCCTGGCAAGGAATATTTCACTCTCAAATGAACGCCTCTAACATGATTTAGAGTTTCTCTATCTGTCATAAGCCAACAGGTGTTTTGCCCTTTCTGGCTTTATTAAGTATAATTAAGATGGTACACAGGGGAAGTAAGAAGAACCACCACTCTTGTTCCTACTCCCTCTCGACATGCAGTTTTCATGCTCATCAACCACATTTCATGTCTATAGTACAGGGACTTCAATAGTTCATGGAAAATGAAGTTAAAAATAGGTTTACTTGGGTGCAAAAAATTTTGAAATCCATGTACACAGGGGAATCTTCAAAAAGTTCAGAAAAACTGCACATTATGAAAAATGATGCATAGATTTCAAAATTTTTGCACCAAAATCAGCTTATATTTTAATTGCACATTTCCACAAACTTTTATCAAATAGCCTCACATTCCAACAAAAGGCTGGTAGCCCACATAACCCCAGCTGATTAACAAGGGCACAGTACATTCGCTATAAATCACAAGGCAATTTTGCAAACTCTGTCTTAGCCTTTGCTTTCCTTCCTGTGACACATTCTGATTTTTACAGAATTAAAAAGTTTCAAGAAATTAAGCAAATCACTTGTAATTCTTCAGCCAATTCAGAGGAGCCGGCAGCCACACACAGAGCCTGGGACTGGGTAAAGGCGCCCCAGTGATCCACGCTGTAATCCATTAGCATATTGGTGTCTCTTGTCTCCCAATGAGTAGGGGTTTCTGTCTTCCAAACATTACTCTCATTTTCATGAACTTGGAAGAGCAAGTCTGTAAAGCTATCTGGTGACACTAGAAATTCCACTTAACATCCATTTTTAATGTCTATCTAAAGCGAAAAAGCAAAAATCATTGCCTTTTCTCTTTATAGATTTTGATCTATGGAAATGAAGTTGACAAAATATTCTTTGTGCCTCCTGAAAAAATCATGATTAATTTTATCACCCTCAACATTCTGGATGATTCTAAAACTCCCCAGAAGAATATGAGTTTCCTGGAAGAAGGTAGGGATGGATTCAGCCTTAAGGATTCAGATCCCAGCTGGGAGCTGGAGTCCCAGCAGGAGGACATAGAGGTGAAACACTTCGGGTATGCATCACATGTGGTGGAAATTTTCTGTGACTCTCGGAAAAGCCCCAGAAGCTCTTCCCTAATCCAGCAAGAGTCACTGAGCAGAACGATACCCAGAGATCAAACTGTCATGGAAGATGAATATGATATAAAAAACGACATTTGGTGGGAACACAGAGATCAGAAGGAGGCAGCCATACATGGAATGCCACTCATGCAACAGGTAGCTCTGGCAAACTTGGATCTACAAATGTTACTGCATTCATATACCCCTCAGCTTAGAGACTTGGAGCACCTGGCACAGGGGCAAAGAGACTCAGAAGAGGAGCCGGAGGAGGAGCCATCGATGACAGTGGTGGATTGGGACCCTCAGACTGGCCGGCTGTGTATACCTTCCTTACCTAGCTTTGACCAGGAGCCCAAGGGCTGTGAGCATTCCGACTGTGATGGACCCATGGAGGAGAGCCTGCTATCCAGGCTCTTTGAGAAGCAGGCAGCTGACAAGACACCCGAAGAAGAGGAAGCCTATCTCATGCAGTTTATGGAGGAATGGGGATTATATGTACAAATGGAAAACTAACCCAAGAGCTCCCTTTCCCCCATCCTCTACTGGGCCAAGGCATGGGAGTGCAAGCAAATGCATGGCCCAGCAATAAAGTGCCTGGGATAAGAGAAGTTTGTTCAGATTTGTCACTACCATGAGGACTTGTTTCTGCTCTCTGTTCTCCAGCCCTTGTTTTTTTCTTGCCTCTTGTGAGCGATTGGCTCATGCATGCAAGTCTCATGCTGAAGGCCCACGGAGTGCCGCTGCTTCGGACATCATCAGCACTCAACAAATGCTTTCCAGACTGGCTGCAGAATTTATCCAAGAGGATGTACTGTGGTCCCTTTGTTTATTAGTTTCTAACAAGCACACTTCTGCAATTAAGTATTTATCATATGTATAAGAATTTCATAAAGATCAATCATTTTATAAATACCACTTTTTGAGAATTAGGTACATTGTGAGAATGATGAGACCCTTAAAACTTGCAAATATCACTAAGTCGAGGGTAAGGACCACTGACTGCTATGCAATCATAGATAATCCATGTTTAGGGTGAATAAGCCAGGCACACACCTTCACGAGATAGCATGCTATGGGCTACCGTAGGAGGCTATATTTAATACTTTATGAGTAGTTCTGGCATATAAACATAAAATATTGTTCTTTTGTAGTAAGAAAAAGAACCATAATTTAGTGGGGGCTTTTTGTTGTCCTTAATAAGAGAAGAATTCTGTGATGCTCTAAATTTAATCATAGCCCAGAGGGTGGAAGAGAGGCAAGACAGAGGAGGTTAGTACATTGACAGGTGCTAACGTGGCAGCAACATGAGCATTGGTTCGAGTCCCGGCTGCTCCACTTCTGACCAGCACCCCACTAATATGCCTGGGAAAGCAGCAGAAGGTGGCCCTCAAGTGCCTGGGTCTCTACCTGGGGAGACCCGGATGGAGTTCCAGGTTCCTAGCTTTGGCCTGGCCCAGCCCCAGCTGTTGCGCCCATTTGGGTATTGAACCAGCAGGTGGAAAATCTCTCTCAGGGTTTCTCCCTCTTTCTTTGTAATTCTGTCTTTCAAATGAGTAAGTAAATATTAAAAAAAAAAAACTAAAAGCAACAAAAGACTGTTTTGCATTATTAATGTAGGTTAAAACTTTAGCTCAAATCCTATCAGGAGCCCCTAGTGCCGCTGCATGCTGCTTACATCCCACACAACCCAGGAGCAACAAGTTCTTGTGGACGGTCCTCCTACCCCCAGACATTCCCTGCTTTCTGCAATCCTGCCCTCTTACCTGTAGCAATGCAGGTTCAATGTAAATAGCTCATGGCTTCCTGCCCAAATTTTTTGTTCTAGAAATGTTCTTAGCTCTAGGTCCAATGGGCATTTTTGTAACTGCTGGTTAGCCTTGCCTCTGGTAGTTGTGGGAGCTTGTCGAAGGACCTGTTCCTCTTCTGGCTAGCATCTGTTAAGTTACAATAAATTCTTTTATTTCAGATATCCCTTTGGTTGAAGAGTTTTGGTTTAACATGTGTCCAAACTAACCTGAAAGAAAATGTCACATTTTATGATCAATATTACATTTATTTCTGGAAATGTGTTGTTAGAAAGACATTCACATGGTCTATAAACAAGAAAGTGTTGAGCAGTGGAAGCACTGCGTTACTATTATAATATTAAATATTCCATTTAATGCCTCAGAGAGTCTAGAATATGTATATTATCTGTCCACATAATATGGTTTTCTTTTAATTAAAAGATAAAACTGTACATTGTATGGGATATCATGTGATGTTTGTATAATGTTCACTCAGAGCAAACAGATCTATCTCCTCAAACATTTAACATTTCTTTTTGGTGAAAACATTCAAAATCCTTTCTTCTAGGTGTTTTTTTTTTTTTTGAGAAATATATAGTATCAGTGTCTGTATAATTCTACTTTGCTATAGAACACCAGAACGTCTTATTCTTTTTTTATTATTATTATTTGACAGGCAGAGTTAGACAGTGAGAGAGAGAGACAGAGAGAAAGGTCTTCCCTCTGTTGGTTCACCCCCCAAATGACTGCTAAGGCCAGAGCTACGCCAGTCCGAAGCCAAGAGCCAGGTGCTTCTTCCTGGTCTCTGATGCGGGTGCATGAGCCCAAGCATCTGGGCCATCCTCCACTGCCCTCCCAGGCCACAGCAGAGAGCTGGACTGGAAGAGGAGCGACCGGGACTAGAACCTGGCACCCATATGGGATGCCAGCACCGCAGGTGGAGGATCAACCAAGTGAGCCATGGCGCCAGCCCCAAGAACATCTTGTTCTTATCTAACTGTAATTTAGTACCCTTTAACCTTTCTCCATCCTATCCTAACCCCTTTTAGCCCTAGCCTCTGATAAACACCATCATGCTCTCAACTTCTATAAGATCTTTTTTTTTTTTTTTTTTGTATTCCACATATGAGGGAGATCATGCAGCGCTTGTCTTCCTGTGCCTGACTTATTTCGGTTAACATAATGACCTCCAGTTCTACTCTTGTTGTTGACAATGACAAGATTTCATCTTTTCCTATGGCTGAGCTGTATTCCATTGTGTATATGTACCACATGTTCTTTCTCCAGTCATCAGAGGATGAACACTTAGGTTGTCTATTGTGAACAGTGCTGCAATAAATATCGGAGGGCAGATGTCTCTTCAATAGACTGATTCATTTCCCTTGGGTATATACCCAGTAATGGGATTGCTGGCTCATTTGGTAATTCTCTTTGTGGTTTTTTTGAGAAACCTCCATACTAGTTTCCACAATGGCTGTGTTATTTTACATTCCCACCAACAGTGTATAGAGATTCCTTTTTTTTCCACACCCTCACCAGCACTTGTAACCTTTGCCCATTTGATAAGAGCCAATCTAACTAAAGTGAAGTGATATCTCACTGTGGTTTTGATTTGCAGTTCCCTGATGACTAGTGATATTGAGAAGTTTTTCATGTACCTCATTTTCAGATCTCCTTTTGGGAAATGTCTTTTCAAATCTACTGCCCATTTTCTAATTGGATTATAGAATTTTTTGCTACTAAGTTGTTTGAATTCCTTATATTTTCTGGTTATAAACTTTTTGCCAGATTATAACTTGCAAATGTTTTCTCCCATTCTGTGGTTATCTCTCCATTTCACATTAACTTGCTATAACCAAAGAATGGATGTGGTAACCACAAAGCAAAAATCTATAATAGACTTACCAAAAATAATAAGCAAGGAATCAAAACACACTACTATAGAAAAATCATTTAACTACAAAGGAAGATTGTAAGAGAGGGAGAAAGGAACTATAGTAAGAATAGAAAAGAAGTATTAAAATGACTAAGTACTAAGAGTTAAGTCCTTACCTATCAATAATTAACCTTAAATGTAAGTGGATTAAATTCTCCACCAAAACCAAAGACACAACAACAACAAAATAAAGCTACCAACCAACATCTGTGACTAACACAGATGCAAAAGTCTTCAACAAAAGCACATCAGAGGATCATGCACATGATCAAGTGGATTCATCCCAGGGATAGGAGGATGGTTAAGCATATGCAAATTACCACATATCAAAATTAATAAACAAACATGGGTCATACAATAGAAATAAGCTAAATCAATATGTAAGAATGAATACTAAAATTTGACATGGTCTATTGTGATAACTGTAAAGCAATACCTTTCTAGTGAAATTCCAGTAACTATTCTCATGTTCACCTTTACTATTTGCTTAAAAAATAAATTCTATTAAATATGACAGAATATGTTAAGGTGAAACATACAAAGGCAAGCATTTGGCCTAGTGGTTAAGACACAGGCCAAGATTCCCATGTCCTGTATCAGAGTAATGGGTTTGATGCCCAACTCCAGCTCCTGACTCCAACTTTCTGCAAATGAGACCCTGGGAGGCAACAGTGACAGCTCAATTAATTGGGTTCCTGGATTACTTAATGGGAGACCTGGGTTGAATTTCCTGTTTCCAGCTTTAGCCTAACCCAGTCCCAGCTGTTGTGGCATTAGAGAAATGAACCAGTCAATGGGAGCCCCCCCACACACACCATCTCTTTACCTCTCAAATAAATAATTTTAAAAACATAAAAATGTTGATATTTGGCTATTTTTGATCTGTAGAAACAGCAAAGTCATGTAGTATATCTTAAAATGTATTTGTTTGATTCATGAACTGATCATCCGCTGGTGCTCTCTCAGAACAGCAGAGCCAAGCCCCATTTCCTGATGCAGATTTTTGGCACAGGCAAACAACGCTGGTAGAAGAGATGGATTCTGGAGGCATGGTCTTTTGCGAGGGCTGCAAATGCAAATAGTTTCTGATCTAATGGTTTAATTTAGAGCATAATTATATTAATCAGAGTGTCCTGTTCTCAAATTTTATAGAAAATGATTCAGCCAGTTTTGAAGAGCAAATGTGTAACATTGATTAACCAAGTCCAGACGTGGGAAAGAATGAGTCGTTATCAAGAGCAAGAGGAAAATAACGTGATGGATAACAGTGTGGCTTATTAATTTCACTTAGAAAATATTTATTGAGCACCTGTGAGGCCTTTCAGCGTCCTCATCGGGGAAACAGAAATAGCTTTCTCAGTGCCGGCCTGGGGATTCCAAGCCTAGGGGGCCTGCAGAAGACATTTAGCGCGCTGTGTGGCACAGCAGGAGTGTCGCGTGCACCTGTGCTGCCGTCACGGACTCCCGGGGCACTTGCCGTCGATTCAAAAGCAGACCTTGTAGGCCTCGGCTTGCTCAGTTGAGAGAACAGTCACCCGCTGCCCACTCTGTTCCTTCCGACTGAAATTCCTCGGCGCTTGAAGGACTTGTGAAAGGGACTCTGAGTTGCTTTCACATCACTTCTCACTCTCAGCTCGTCAGAAGATCTCGCATTTCTCTTTGCTGCTGCAGATCTTGGCAATAATCAGGCAGTGGAGGGAAGGTCGCATCATCCTGGAGGTGGTGTGTGGGAGGAGCCTGCTTGCCGTCACTTCTGTGGCCAGGGCCCCACCAGCTCCAGGAAGTTGTCCTCTGGGTCCCATCAGATTCCATCCCTAGGCCTGAGGTTCAAGTAGAGCTGGATTTTAAATTGATAGATAACTTTTCTCCATGAAAATATCTACTAGTGCCTCTGACTCCCCGCCCCCTAAGTCATGAGCAACAGGTGGACAAAAAGTCTACTGTGAAGTGAATGAAACCTAGTGCTACATCTTGCCGTGGGAATGCAAGGACCTTGTCCCTGTGGCCTGCACACACGTGGAAAAGCTCTGGTGCCCCAGGGATGAGTTCCACTTGAGGAAGATCAGTGCAGAGAAAAACTCATACAACCCACAACACAAGTCTGCCCAGCCTGGTGAACTAATGAGAACATTAGACAGAGGATTGTATCATCCTGGATGGGTGCTCTCGGTTCATAAATCAAATCGGTTCTGGCCCACGCCTCACCACCTCCACATCTTACAGATGAATTTTCACTAAATTATCTTAAATGAGCTGTTTTTCTTTATTTCTTTTTTTGGGTCCCCATATTATATCTTCCATAAATCTTCTATCTACAATTTTCCCCTAAAGGCTTTGCTTAAAAACATGTGCCTATAATTTTTTTTAATGATGAATGCTATGGCTTTGGGTATTAGTTTTATTTTTATAGCAAAAGACATATATTAAAATGTGCATAATTATGCTAGAATAACTAGAAATAAATGATGGAAAGAAGACAAATTATTTCTAACACTCCCACTCAGATATAACCACTGAACATTCATTAAGGTAGAGAAATGACTCTCAGTGAGAGGCAACTTTGTCCTCCATGAGACTCTTGGCAATGTCTGCAGACATTTTTTGAATCTCACAGTGCAGGGGGAGAGGCCAGGAGTATCACTCACCTCCCTGTGGTGCACAGGGCGGCCCCCCATCACAAAGAGCTATCCAGCATCAGTGCCTGGGCTGAGAAACTCTGATGTAGAACTTTCCAGGCACTGCTGTGTGCATAAATGCATACAGCTGTAAATCTCTATCTGTGGGTTCTGCATCTCTGTACATTCCACCACAAATTGAAAAAAAAAATTTTTTTTTAATTGCATCCCAGGGTCGGTGCTGTGGCATCTTCTGCAGTGCCAGCATTCCTTATGGGCGCCGGTTCGAGTCCCGGGTGCTCCACTTCTGATCCAACTCTCTGCTATGGCCTGGGAAAGCAGTAGAAGATGGCCCAAGTCCTTGGACCCTTTCACCCACTTGGGATACCTGGAAGAAGCTCCTGGCTCCTGGCTTTGGATCAGCGCAGCTCCTGCCATTGTGGGCATCTGGGGAGTGAACCAGCAGTTGAAGACCTCTCTCTCTCTCTCTCTCTCTGCCTCTGCCTCTCTGTAACTCTGCCTTTTGAATAAAATAAATAAGTCTTAAAAAAACATTACATCCATACTGAATACGTACAACCTTCTTTGCTGGTCATTATTCCCTAAACAATATACTATAACAAGTATTTGC